GATCTTGAAGGATGGGGTTACCAGTCCTAGGGAAAGGAGGCAGGAGGCTTGGACAGCAGCCCTTTGCTCACCAGCATGGAAGTACTCCAATATTTTAACAATGATATGGCCATACCAGTGAGTACTGATACCAGCACTGCCCGCAGCTGCCACCAGGACCTCCCTTTGCCCAGCCTGTGCCTTCAACCTGTCTGTGGGTTCTGCTGCCTTCCCTCCCCCTCCCCAAGCAGATGTCCTTTAGCAACTCTGCCCTTTAAGGCTGCCCTTGAAAGTCAATGTAGTTCCTGAACCAGGACTCAAAGAGAAGGCCCAGTCCCAGTTCTGCTTCTCTTCTCGTGGGACTTGAGGAAGTCCCTTTGTCTCTCTAAGTCTTGTTTTCTCATCTGTAAAATGGGCTAATATCCATGCTTTCCAACCTACAGGGTGATGGTGTGTATCAAATGATCACATGCATGTGGAGGTGCCCTGTAAGGTGCTTCTCAGATGTCAGTATTTTGTTCTGAGGGCACCTGTGTGAAAACTTTGAGGGAAGAAGACAGAAAATACAGTGTATCCTCCTCCATTCCTCTTGGGACGGTCTTGCTTTCATCTCTGAAGGACAGCAGAGGACAAAGCCTGACCCTGCCCACCCTGGCAGCAGGAGGAGTAATTTGAGGGCCCACCACCATTTAGAACACTTATACCACCATCACCATATATCAGGGAGGGCTCCCTGAAGGAGGGAAGAGACTGGATAGAGGGCTTAACAAGGGGGCATAAGAAGCAGGAAGAACCACACAAGCAGGAAAGAGGGTCTTCTGTTCACCTCACCCACCCCCAGAGCCAGTTGGAGGGCTCAATTCCTGGCGCCATCCCACTCTCTTTTGCCCCATGACCTTGGCAGTTACTTATCCTGAGTCTCCATTTTTCCCTAGTAAAGTAGGAGTAACAAATAATATCTGCCTCATAGCCTTCATAATATAGTCATAATCTGTGAAGATTAAATGAAATAATATGTATGTAAAGCACTTAGCACATGGGTGACGTAGAGCAAGTCTCAATAAATGAGAGCTCTTAATGAAAGTATGCCCACCCCAGATCACCCTGCAAAAGCTGAAGACAGAGGAGTATGTCCAACAGAAGAGGGAGCTCCTAGCTCTCTATCGGAACCAGGACCGGGAGGCCCCACGCACGAGGCCCTCCTCACCTTCCCCGGAGGACTCTCAGAGCAGCGCAGAGGGGAGGTAAGACCCACAGGGACCACAAGTCTCTCAAAGTAGGGGGACTGCAGGCAGGGAGAGAGGGGAGAGGAACCCACACAGCAGAGAAGTGGCAACACAGCTTCTGGGGACATTGGAAATAGACAGAGGAACCCAGGCTACTGGTTAGAGTGGAACAGGTTGGCACTAGTCAACAGTTGCCAGCGTGACAGAAACAGACACAAGAGACGCAAGCTCCTTGAGAGGAGCAGGCTCCCCAGGCCAGGGATGGAGAGTGAGAGCCAGTATGGGATTTGCAGAATGTCGCAGCTGCAAGGATCCAGAGAGGGCGAGAGGTTCGTTCACAGGAACACATCTGTTCAGCAACATGGTTAAGGAGAAGAAAGATCCATCACTGGGGGGATTGCCTCAGGGGAGCTCAGGAACCCTTCAGCAGATAGCTGAGCACCTGCTTGGTACAAGGTCCTGGGCCAGGTGCTGTGGCTAAAATACCTTAGAGGAGCTTACAGTCTAGCCAGCAAGATGAGAAAATAACCATGCATTGTAAAGGTGGTACCGAAGTAAGTTTGGAGGAGGGGCTGTTTCTGGATAGGAAGATCAAGGGAAAATTCCTGGACTTGAACTTGACCCCTCAGCACCCAACTCTGACCATTTACTCTTCCTATAAATTGTAGGACTCCAGAGTTCTCAACCGTCATCCCCCAGCTGGTGGTGACAGAAGACGTGGATGAAGAGCCTCTGTTGGTACCAGATGATACTTCAGACTCTGGCTATGGGACCCTGATCCCAGGCTCCCCCAAGGGGCCCCATTCTGTGAGCCGTCTACGCCCACAGGCCCTTCGGCGTGACCCTCGTCTCACCTTCTCCACCCTGGACCTCCGAGATGTTCCTTTGCGCCCTCAACCTCCCAACGCCCAAGCCCCCCAACGCCAAAGCGCCCCTGAACTGCCAGGGGAAGGTATCCGAAGAGGAAGCAGCCTTCCCAGGCAAGATCCACCAACCTGGTCTGAAGAAGAAGACGGGACCTCAGTAGATGGGAATGTGGTAGCAGAAACGCTGCATAGGGCCCGACTTCGGAGACAGCTCCCCCCATCCCCAACCCACACTGACTCTGCTGGGGAAAGCCCCTGGGAGTCCTCAGGGGATGAAGAAGAAGGGCCCCTCTTCCTGAGACCTGACTGCACCCCCTCCCCTCGCCCTCTCCGGGCTGAGGACATGCTCAGAGAGATCCGGGAAGAACTGGCCAGCCAGAGGATTGAGGGCATCCCCGAGCCTCAGAGGAACAACAGCCCTCAGAAGCTGACCCGGGTCCAACTGCGGAGAATGCGTGGGCCCCACATCATTCAGCTGGACACCCCCCTGTCCACATCGTAAGTGCTGAAGGGAAGGTGGCCTGGGAGGGGGTGGAGAAGCCAGTATGGAGTGAGAGGGGTACCAAAGATGTCAGTGGGGACAGAGTATAGAAGGAGGGCAATACCGGAGCAGGGGCCATGGCAAGGAAGGGTACTTAGCCTCACTCTTCACCCCACATCTGACTTTGCCTAACACCCACCTCCTTTCTTTCCAGAGAGGTGTGAGGAACACTCAGGACCTTTGGCATTTCTCCCGGAGGAAATCTCTCCCCACGAGTGCTGGTCACCTCCCCACCCCTGGACTCTACCTCAAGGACCACACTTCCCAATAAGAAGCCTGGCCCGGGCACCATGCCCTTCCTGCCCTGAGGGCTTTGGGATCAAGTGCTGTACATTTTTGTACCACAGACATACCAGAGCCCCACATAAAGTTGTACATAAAAATGACCGCCTGGTCATTACTAGATAAGGGTGGGAAGAAAGAGAACCTGATGAGGAAGGGGTCAGAGAGTGAGCACAGGCTGCTCCTTTGTCAGCTGGTATCATGGTGGTGGGGTACCTGGCCCAAGCTCAGGGCTTTTCCCAGCCCACCCCCATCAGGATCGCAGTCTCTGCCCCAGCCTCCCACACCCGCCACTCAGAAGGACCACCCCGTCCAGGAGCAGAGCTTTAATTCCAGAGTTTTAGTGTATTTACAAAAGTCCACAGCTCCTGCTGGCCGCCCCATTGTTCTGTGCCTGCCCCTGCCTTCGGACAGGTCAGCTCACCCTGTGCTTGTCCAGGCAGGGGGCGGAGGCGTGCCCAGTTTCTATTAGTGTAACATAATTGATAAAAAAGATTGCTTATCTACTGTGACAAGGGCCCAGGGATCACCCAGAGGCCCCGAAGCTGCGTTGCTGGGTTTTCCAAACCCAAAGTGGGTGATGAGGCATGGCGCCCCTCATCTCTACAACCACAAGCTGGGGCTCCTGGCACACTCAGCCTCTCTCAGGATCACACGCACACATCTGTCACACACAAGGCTGACCCTCCGGCAGTGCTCCGAAAACGGAGAAAATTCTGTGTACACTGAGGGAGTAGCACCAAGTAGGTGGCTGCCAGCTCCTGCCTGCCCCTTCGTGTCCCTTGTCCAGAAAGAGGGGATCCGGAGGGCACCTCGCACCGTCCTTCTGGGCCGCCCCGCCTGTAGGCAGCGGTCCTCAGAGCAGGCCCCTCACGGGGCGGGGCGTGGCCTCACCGGAGGAGGCGGGGCGGGGGCGACAGGGAGGCCGGGGCGCACAGCGCCTCCTCGATGTCCTCCAGGCAGCCGAGCAGGTCCATGTCGCGGAGCACGCGGCCCAGCAGCTCCAGCGTGGCTTCGCGTCGTGGCGTGCGTCGCCGCCAGGCCGCCAGCATGCTGTAGTGCGCCTCGCGCAGGCAGCGCCCGTTCTGCAGCTCCAGCCGCTCGATCTCGTGCTCGCTCAGCCCCAGCCGCCGCACGAACTCCTTCCAGCGCGACGGGGGCACACCGTCCACCACCGCGTACAGCGTCGCCGGGTCGGCGGGATCCGCTGCGAGGAAGCCGGGCGGTGAGCCTCCGGCCGCGGAGGCGGCCCCGCCCGTCCCCTCGCGCGCACGCGCCCTCCAGGAGCTCCACCTACCTGCCCCTGCAAGGAGCTCACCTTCTGGGCGTTGAGTGTCGGTGCTGTCCTCCCACTTCTGAACTGGGGTGGAGATGGGGCTGGAGGCTGGAGCCGCGGAGAGGATGGGGCCAGCCCCCTGGTAGGGTGGAGCCATCTCTCTGGAGACGGATGCAGCCCTCAAATTAGCCCAGTCGCTAGGAGTGAAGGTGGGGCTGGGAGTGAAGGTGGGGCTGGGGGTGAAGGTGGGGCTGGGGATGGGACTGAAGCCTGGACCTGTGGCCAGGGGCTGAGGCTCTCCCTGAAAGAGAGAAGGCACAGCGTTAGTGGAGGAGAGGACGAACAGCCCGAACCTTCTTTATTTCTGGAGGGGGGTTGGAATTAAGGGTGACCGAGGGTCATTTAGGTATTACAAGATTGTAATGGACAATCAGCGGGAAAGACTGGGGGTAGGTTCCTGGTTTCATCTTACCTCTTTTGTAGGTGTTGATTTCCCACAAACTGAAAAAAAAGAAACCAAGCGTCACAAATTTCACTTCCTCTCTCAGCCCTGGCGCCCATACCGGGGCTGGCCCTGGGGACTTGTGGTGACATGCTTCAGGGCCAAAGTGGCCCCAGGGACAAGAGACCTACTGATGCATTGTGACCTCTCACCAAGCCATCAGGGCCACCTCCTGCCAGCGGGGTCCTCAGCAGCAAGCTAAGGGGACACTCCCTCATTTCCCTCCATGCTGATCCCTCTCACCCACTCAACCCCCTCCCACATCCCCCAGCAGCAAGCTTTCCCCTCCCAAGGGCCCCACTCACCGATGGAGAAGAGCTTGGACTTCCGCCGTTGGTAGCGGCACATTAAACCAATGGAGAAGGATAAAACGCAAATGCCGAAGAAGATCACGAGAGGCAGCAGCACTGTGGTGCCTGGAGGCGAGGCAGATTGTGGTGAGAGGAGAAGGGAAGCAGGAAGGGCAGGGCTGGCTGGGTAGGTGGAGGGGCAAGGATTAGGAGAGGGCAGGTGAGCATGGGAAGCGGGTTATTTCTCCTCACCTGGGTCCTGAGGGTCCTTAACAGTTTCCACGATGGGTACGCACAACTTCGTACACTCTGTGTTTTTCTTACAGCTGAAAGAAGAGATCGCACAGGTACGTAGGGGCCCTCCCCCAAGAGGAAGACAGGGGAAAAAGGAAAAAGCAGAAAACTCCATACTGTTGGAAATTTCTTTGCTTTCCAAACATTTTAGCTATCTCTTGAAATAATGGAAATTAAACCTCTCCTGACTCAGAGGAATGAAACGCAAGCCAATCACAAAATCATTTCCTTTTAGAATTGGAAGTAATCTCAAGGAGGCTGTGTAGAAAGAACTAATTCAAAGCAGTAAGGGGCAGGGTGTGAATTCCAGTCCATTCGTTGGCTGGCACTGTGACTCCAAGCAAGTCATTTAACCTGTAAGCCTCAGTTTGCTCATCAGTAAAGTAAGACCCTTACCCACCTGTCAGAATTGAGAAGTGAGATCATTATGCCTGGCATATAGGAAGCACTCGATAAATGGTGGCTGTCACTGAACTGTTGTAAGAATCCCATGGCAAAGAGAGGTTGGAGAGCTTTTTCTTGAGATGACATTGCTAGTGACAATCCCTGACTTTGTGGAAAGAGGGGTCAAACGTGCATGTGAAAATTTTAAAAAGACTTATTTTGGGGGGCAGCCAGAGAACACTCTAGAACAAGCACATCTTCCCCCCCTCTGGAAGCTGTCACTGGGCAGCAGGAGTAATGAGAACTCCATGGGGGGCTAGAAGGAACTTGGGAAGGTCAATGCTCCGCAGGAAGAGGCGACCTCACAAACTCACAGTGAGAACCACATGGAATGAATGTAAAAGCTCTTTGAAGGAGAAAAGACACTTAGTAGAAAAAGAAAACAAATAGTTTGGTGTTACTTTATAGCTGTACAGCTTTGCCAAGTGGATGTCATTATCCTTACTTTAAAGGTAAGAAAACTAAGGTTCAGAGATGTTAAGTAACTTGCCCAAGGTCACACATAAGTGGCTAGGCTGAGATTTGAACTTGTAGAGCCCTCAGAGTTCCTTCTTTGCAAGCAAGTATGCAAGAACAGACCCTGTGGAGCCCAAAGAAGTGAGGAGGCCTGAACAGAGACTGGGGAAGAAATACCATACTGCCTCAAAGATGCCATCACTAAAAAGCACCATCATTTACATACTACATACACACACAGAGCTGCCAGTTAAACCATGATACATCATCAATTGTAAGATGCAGTCTGATTTCAGAGACATGAAAATGTGCGTCCTAGAATCCATGAAGTAGACCCTGTCACCCCAAAATCCAAATGTCTAAGTTCAAAGAACTGCAAGTCCGTGGAGTATGAGCCTCTATTCCCAAAGACTTCTTCAGATTTTAGGAACAATTCTGGCGGGGGGTCGGGAGGGCAGGAAGAAGGACTGTCTGGTGTTTTGACACCAAGAGTCAACCAGTCAGTAAGAACCAGAGCATCCTGGGCTGTCTCCCTTGCCCTGCTGGTGGCTCTCACCTGCAGCCACCCCATTCGCCGCCCCACCCCAAGCCCCCTCACCCGATCCAGTGCCCAGCAGCCAGTGGAGATACTCACTTAACACAAGAGACGCACTCATTCCCTCTTAGAAAGAACCCCGCGTGGCAGGTGCATACAGTATTCTGTGTCTCCTTGCCTGTGGGGAGAGATACAATACAGCTAGAGGAGGGGCACCCTGCACCAAGGACCACAGGGAAAGCTAGGAGGGGCAGGGGGCAGATGGCCAGAATGGTCCCACAGACTTCGGGAGTGGGAAGGAGAGGAAGTGTGGGGTCAGGGGGCTGGGGTACAGAAAGGCAGAGGCCTTTCTCCTGAGACAGGGCCCACCCTGGGGCGGGGAGCGGGGCCGGGCTATGGAGAGCTGTGCTCACAGGAGATCTGCACCGTGCCGTTGAGGCAGAGGCTGCAGTTTAGGCACTGGAAATGGGTTTCACTCCAGTAATACCGGTACTGGTTCTTCCTGCAGCCACACACGGTGTCCCGGTACACTGTGCAAGGAGATATCTCCACCTGGTACATTTCTGGAGGGGGGTGGAGACAGGGTGTGAGCACAACCCCCCCCCCCCCACCGTGTGTGTCTTTCTCTGTACACACGCCCACACCCCTGCACTCAATTATGCATGCACATTCCTGTGTTTGCCCTCACACACAGACAGGCGAGCCCACTGCTCTAACACATCCGCCTGACATTCCATTTAGAGCCCTCGCCACCTCCTGAGACTCACCTTTTCGGCATTTGGAGCAGCTAAGGCACTGTCTGAGGTAGTTCTCTGAAGCAGTAAATGTGCCATTTTCACATTCTCTGCAGTCCGTGTCCAGCCCTGGGCCCGCACAGTCATTGTACAGGTAGGTCCCTGTGATGGGGGATCAGTTAGGTTGCAGTGGGAGCTCAAGGAAGGAGCCCTATGCTAGAGAGAATAGCCAGGGCCACGCCTCTGAAGTCTGTAAGAGAGGAAAGAAGGGAGAAAATCCCAGCCCAGAAGAGGCAGCAAAGTTAGGAGCCTGGAGGTCAGAGACCCCCAAGTTCTAGAATATCTGGAAAAAGCAAAGGAAGAAGCAGGACCCCGTAACTGAGGTGATTCACTGTTCCCACTTTCTCCTACCTTTGTGGCACTTCGTACAGCAAATGGAATTATCTTGAGGGTGAATATATTTTCCTTGCGGACATGGAATAGCTCTCTTCTCCCGGTCCCTGAGGTGAGGGACCAGTCCAGTAACCCTTAATGGGTATATTTCCACCAACAGAGCCAGAAGTACCTGGGGAAGAATCAGACAGAGGAGATCCTATCAGGAGAGGGAGGGTGGGAACCCTAGAGGTAGCAAGTTCAAAGCCTTCCCAGCTCAAGTCCTTTCTCAGTGGAACATTGCCCCCGGGCCATTCCTGCTCACACTGGATATCCTTCCTCTAAGCTTAGACAGCTGGCCCCATGTGATCTAGCACTTAATTCTTCTCTAGTTGTTCTGTGTACTAATTTTTTTGTCCCTCCAAGTTAAGACTAGTAGACCCCAGGCCTGGACTGTATTTTATCCTTATTTTCCCATAGCAGTTAACAGTGCTGGACACAGGGCGGGTGTTTAAGGAATGTTTTTTTTGATTGGGAACTGGTCACCTCAATTGGGGCCCTTACTTCCAACAAGGAGCCTTAAGGATATTAATGTGGTGTTTCTCCTTCTGGGTGCTATGTTCACAGTGTGTTCACTTTGTAAACATCCACAGAGGTGAGCAGTTAGATCTGTGCACTTTCCCGGATTGCGTAATCCCAGTAGAAAGGGTATGTTTATAAAATCAGATTGGAGGGGGCACCTGGGTGGCTCAGTTGGTTAAAGCGTCCAGCTAGACTCTTGGTTTCGGCTCATGATCTCACGGTTCACGCCCCATATCTGCTCTGCACTGACAGCAATGGAGCCCGCTTAGCTGGGATTCTCTCTTCCTCTCTCTCTGCCCCTCCCCTATTTGCGCTCTCTCTCTCTCTCTCTCTCTCTCTTTCAAAATAAACAAATAAATAAATAAACAAATAAATAAAACTTTAAAAATAAATAAAATCAGATTGGAGTGGAAGTAAGTGACGTTTCTGTGGGCACCATTTGTAGGGAGTGGGCAAAAGGAAGAGTTTCTTTATAAATCTGTATCAAAACCTCACTCAGGATTCTGCCCTCAGACCTCATGCTGCATCCCCTTCCACCACTAAATCTGCACAAATACCCCAGGTTGGCCAGGGCAAACGGGGAGGGCAGTAAAAGGGAAAGTTTCAGGGTGGGAATGAGGTAGGAGATTGACAAAGTTTAGGTCCAGGCAGGATTGGAAAAAGGCATGTAGGTTACATACAGTGTATGTATCCAGAGGCTGGTGATCGGGCTCAGGTGACCATCAAGTCAGGAGCTGAGGATGGGCTGGAGTCCTGATGCCCTTTGCACACAGGGGCATTCTGAGAGTCACCTTTTACAGCCTCAGGGCAAGCCCTCAGCAGCTGAATCACTTGCCCAGTTCTGGCTTCAGAGCCAGGGACAGCAAAGCCAGGAGTCAGTGTTGAGCTCCAGCCTAGACTTTTTTCCTTGATCTCTTAATCAGCCTCTTTCTGGCTTTTCCTGGGTCTTGATTTTCTTTTTTTTCCCTCTGCTATAAGAGCTGCTTTATGTAAAGATAAGAGGATGTCCTCAAAGCATGTTAAAATTGGAGAAAAACAGACTAATCTGATCACAGAAACCCCAGTCCGAGACAGGACAGCACAGCAGCCCACAGCCCGGTAGGCAGGCAGGCAGGTCGTGCTTGCCCTGAGTCACCCTCTGGGAGACACTGCAGCCTGGAAGCTGGAGCCTCAGCCACAATCAGAAGCCACACTGAGAAACAGAGCAGCGGCCAAGTCAGGGCTGCGCTCCCCTACTCAGAGAGCAGTCCCCTCCCTGAGCCACTCCAGCATGCCGTCTCCCCTGAACAAGACAGGGGCGTCCAGGGCCACAGGAATAATTCAGGGTGGTTATGGGAAGAACTTCCCAATCCTGAAATTGTGGTTCCTTTCCCCGAAGAGCTCTCAGGACCCAAGGTTACTGGCACTTGAAATTCCATGCAGGGCCCCCTCCTGCAGGAGCAAAGCCAACCGGCAGAGACAGTCAGGAAGAAAAACTGGGGGCTCCAGTTCTGCCTCCCCCCACCCCCCACAGCATTGGTGGGGAGCCTTTCAGGGACCACAGGCCTCTGAGGAGTAAGCTTCCAAGGAAGGACGGAGGGAGGGAGGGAGAGAGGCTTTCTCGAGCCTAGCATCCCCCTGCGTCTCCAGCACTTTGGGGGTTAAGTCAGATCCGGGAAAGAGAAATCTTTTCCCAGCAACTCCGCCCAGTGACTCAGGCCAGGGAGGGAGGGCATCTAGGGGAAGGGAGATAGAACCAGCAGCTTCCCCAGCTCCTCAAGGGTCATGAGTCAGCACGAAGGCTGAAGGGACCAGCCAGCAATGAGAACCCCATCTGAGCCCTTTCTCCTGTGGGCCAGGCTCTCCTTCCAACCCCCACTCGGAGCACACTTCCTCCCCCCGCCACCCTCCCCTTCAAAAGAGTCGGCAACAGACCCCTGTCCCACTTGGCCCGCATATTTCGGGAAATGGCCCCCTCTCCCAATCCATCCCAAAGGGAA